GTTGTTCTGTCACTTATAGATCAATATTTGCTTTTTTGAATGATAAATAATTACAGTTAAGTATAACAAACACATTTAACGCAACGGTGTACAGATTCTTAAAAATACTGTGAATGTGGGCATTGTCGCCAGTTTTTGATATGGACTTCTGATGGTCTTCAAATATATGTTTTTGACCATTATGGATAAGATTTTATTTGGATAAATCACACAGTGTTATACAGTAATATAACTGATGACGTTTGACTTTTATTCAAATATCTAATCAATTCCACACATGTATATAAATGAAGGAAAAAAGTTGTGTGAATGACTTGATATGATTACTAGGAATAGTTTATGCTGGAAACGTCATCAGTTAATATTACTGTAAAACACTGTGTGTGTGTACCCGACCGAAAGCTGCTACCTTGACGTGGTGGTCGGGCTTGAACACCGCAATGACCTAATCAAGCTATACTGGCTGAGACTTATGTCTCTTGAGGTTCTACCATGCCAGGCAGGTTGTTTGGAAAGCGGTTAAACAAAAAGCAGCTACCTCATCCAATACCATGATCCAAACAAATTCACAAAATTTCATGCCGGATCGGCCGTGGCCCGGATTAACAACGACCGCGCGGGAGTGATAAGTATGCTACTGAGGCACACAAAACAACAAAGAACAAACAAAAACAGGCCGCGTGTGACCGGCCTCAAGCAGTTGTCCCCTGGGCTCTGCGGTCACGCAACCAAATTCCACGGTGTGGGCAGCCGGGAAGTAACAATCGCCCTCACAATCCAAAACGCACACAAAACCTCTCTAATCCTCACTTATCTTTGTCTTCATCTTCATCTCTATTACCTTGCCTTCCTTCCACTGATGCAACTCCTCTACTTGATGGCTCCTCACTCCCTCTTCACTCTGTGTCCACTAAAAACGACGAAAGCCAAAAAACCACCACGGATAGTCTCCTAAAGCCACGCCACCAATTTCATATAGGAGCATTTAATGTTAGGACACTTTGCCAAATAGGACAACAAGCATCACTAGCTAAGACCCTGGCATCTCGAGCCATTGATGTATGTTGTGTTTCAGAAACACGCATACAAGACCCAAGTGTGGTTATTCACCTAACCCCACCTGGCCAACAGGATGAATCTTCAAAATTCACCTTGAGGGTGTCAGGAGATGCCACAGCTAGTTCACGAGGTTTAGCTGGTGTAGGGATAGCTCTGAGTACTAGGGCAGAAAAGACATTACTTGACTGGATCCCGGTAGATAGCCGAATGTGTGCTGTCCGTCTGAACGGATCAGTAAGAAGGAGAAAGGACTGCACTACTCGCCGATGCCTTTTCGTAATCTCCGCCTACGCCCCCACTGACTGCAGTTCGGATGAAACGAAGGATGAGTTCTACCAAAAGCTGTCTAGTTTGGTGAGAAAGGCTAAACGCTCAGATATAGTCGTTCTAGCTGGTGACTTTAACGCTCAAGTAGGGAAATTGTGTCAATCTGAGAAGGATGTCGGTGGCACCTATGGAGTTCCGTGCCAGCGAACCGACAACGGTGACCGTCTCCTACAGTTCTGTTCAGATAATCATTTGTTTCTTGTAAGCACTAACTTTAAACACAAGGAGAGACACTGTTTAACCTGGCGACCCCCATCATCAAACCAACGCTGGACACAAATAGACCACATAGCAATAAGCTATCGTTGGCGTGGGTCGGTAGGAGATTGTCGCTCCTTTTGGAACACGTGTGTAGATACCGATCACGCACTGGTCCGGGCTCGTGTGTGCTTACGACTGAACGGACGTAGGAAACAGCTGGCGGTAAAACCATCACGTCCCCAGCTCGATCAGGAAACTAAATCCCTATTTGAGGAAGAACTAGCTAAACGCATATCTGAGTTCGACAGCTGTGCTCACCCTGGAGAAGCCTGGAAGAATATTCAGTCAGCTATAGATACAGCTGTAAAAGCTGTGAATAAGGTAAATCCAAAGGTGAGTAAAAACCACTGGATTTCGACTGCCTCATCCGAACTGATAGATGCTAGAAGACTTATTCCGGCGAGCTCCGAATTCAATGAGGAGCGAAAGCTGCACAAAAGGAAACTTACTAAAAGTCTCCGCAAGGACCGTGAACAGTGGTGGGTGACAAAGGCGAAAGAGATGGAAAAAGCATTGGCGATAGGCAACACTAGGCAACTCTTTAGACTCATCAGGGAAACGGGTGGGAGAAGGCAATTCATAAGTGAGACTATTTCTGAGAAAAATGGCTCCTTAATTAGCTCTCAGGATAGACGCCTTGAACGCTGGAAAGAACACTTTGAGGAACAATTTAACTTGCCTACAGCCACACTGAACCTCCCCGCCATCCACCACGTACCCGAATGGGATATAGACACTGGTCCGCCGTCTGTAGGTGAGGTTACAAAAGCTATCAGTAATTTGAAACGAGGCAAAGCGGCAGGACCCGACGGAATTATTCCGGAGGTGTTTAAATATGGGGGTGACATACTAGTTTGTAGATTAACTGAGGTACTAGGCAAAGTGTGGGAATCAGAGACAGTTCCATCAGACTGGGGTAAGTCACTTATTATACCGATATTCAAGAAGGGAAACAAGTCCTCGTGTGATAATCATAGGGGGATCAGCCTAACGAACATAGTCTCTAAAATCCTAGGCTCAGTAATCATGCATAGACTAAGCAGAACTCGGGAGGAACAGACAAGGGAAAATCAAGCAGGCTTTAGACCAGGTAGAGGGTGCATAGATCATATCTTCACTCTTCGACAGATTCTAGAACATAGACACACTTTTCGGCGTCCAACAATTGTCATATTTCTTGACTTGAAGGCGGCCTTCGACTCCGTGGATCGAAAGGTACTATGGCAATGTCTGACTGTGAAGGGAGTGCCAAGAAAGTACATTGCACTAATCAAGGCACTCTATTCAAACTCACGTAGTCGTGTAAGGGCTTATGGGGAATTGTCATCTGAATTGGTAACAACCAGTGGTGTCCGACAGGGATGTCCACTTTCCCCATTTCTGTTTAACTTCATCATAGATATGCTAATGGAAGTATCCTTAACTGAACGTAGTGACTTAGGAATCGACTTGTTACCAGGGAATAATCTTATGGACTTAGAATATGCAGATGACATAGTCCTGTTAGGGGAGGATGCTGACAAAATGCAGAGTCTTCTGAACACCTTGAGCAGCAATCTTCGTATGTTTGGCATGCGATTCGCCCCTGCAAAATGTAAGATGCTGCTACAGGACTGGACCACGTCAACCCCTAACTTAGTGATAGGGAGTGAAGTGATAGAACATGTTGACCACTTCACCTACTTGGGAAGTTGTATTAGCACCAACGGACTGATTGGCGATGAAATCTCAGCACGGATCCGAAAAGCTCGAGCTGCTTTCGCTGACTTACACCATCTCTGGCGTAGGCGTGACATCCGGTTATCAACCAAGGGACGTGTGTACTGCTCATCAGTTCGCTCCGTCCTTCTCTATGGCTCTGAAACATGGCCAATACGCGTTGAAGACATGAAAAGGTTGACTGCTTTCGATCATAGATGTCTGCGATCTCTGTCTCACGTTAGGTGGTTTCACAAGATAAGTAATGTTGACGTTAGGCGTAGAGTGTTGGGCAAAGAGGGAAAATCAATCGACGAGGCTATAAAGTTACATAGACTAAGATGGCTAGGTCACGTGCTGCGCATGCCTAACCACCGCCTCCCCCGACGGGCTTTGCTAGCTGATATAGGTTCAGGTTGGAAAAGAGCCAGTGGTGGCCAAACAAAAACATGGCATCAATCCATGAAATCCTTGACAGTTAAACTGAGTCAGGTAGGGAGATGCAGACTTCCGGGTTGGGGCCCTCGGGACTCTAGGAATCAATGGCTGGAGACAATAGGTGACATGGCTCAAAATCGTTGTCAATGGCCAGCGCAGATGTATTCAGTCTCTGTAATCTTTCATATTCCTTTCTACCATTACCCATTCTGTTTCACTCTTATACTTGTCAAACTCTATTGATTCTCTTCACTCATCTTCTTGTCTACCTCTGTGGGCTATTTGGAACGTGGCAACTCGAACTGCTGCACTTCGGTGCCAAGTTCTATGTTGAATCCAGACAGACAGACAGAAAACACTGTGTGATTTATCCAAATGAAATCTTATCCATAATGGAGTTATACTCTACCACATTGCGCAATTTTTATACTGATATCAATGTTTTTGACCAGTCGTAGCTGCTGTTTTTGTGTAGTGAAGTCGCCTGCATTAAAAACTTCATCTGAGCGTTTTTGTTCTTATTAGATGGATAGTTTTTTTGATAGAATACATCCTTAACTTCGTCCGAAGGACGGTTGGATGGGGGCGTTAGCGGAAATTATGAAAGAGAACCGACTGGTGTCACGGTCTTTCCTTATTCTAACGGTTATATTCAACCAGACAGCATGCATACAACTCTGCTTTGGGATGGAGTCAAGTAGTTGGAATCAGTAACAGTTGTACGAGCCTTTCAATTACAAATGCACTCCTGATGTTTGTCACTATGGCATACTTATTGAGCACGAAACCCTAAGACGGTTATTTTGCAACCGAATGAATTAAGATATTATAATTGATAGTATATTATTTGAAAATAAAGAAAATAGAAGTAGAAATAAAGAAAGCATCACAGGATAAGTGAATATGTTAGGCCTGATGAAAACAATGAAAGTATATTCTGTCAGACAAAAAAGAAATTAATCAAAGAAAAGCGAATCAATGTTCGAGATCTTCACCATCAAAAACTCTACTGCTGAATTCTGGAACTGATTCGTTGTGTCTTACACCGATGTGTCTTTCGATTGTGAGAATTTTTCTGAATTAGACAGTTTTTTCATAATAATGTGTGCAGCTCTTAATGGATGTGATGAGTGTGTTGAAGTATGCACAGCAGACACACCATGTGGTTCACCTTCACATGAACTTAGTTTTTTATATGACTTCAGACTTCCAGCCTTTTATTTGCCAGACGAAATGATAGATAGTCTGAGACCTTGCAAAGGGGATGCAGAGCCTGGTCGATTTCGAAGGTCCAGGCGGGAACTATCCCCAGGAAGACAACTGTAATCAATACTGTCATCAACATCGCATTCAGCTTCAATTTCTTCCTCTGCCTCATCTTCGCTTTCACTATAACATCGAAATGCGGCTGAAGTTATATCAATAGGTTGACGTTGTCCACTTCTAGTACGTGCAGGAGATGACGACTGTCCAACTGAGGGTGGAAGAGCACTATTCCGAGGGAAAACCATGGGGTAAATAGCATGTGCTTCAGATGGTAATGAACTAGAACGTAAATCCGAAACAGAAAATGATGGAGATGAGTTCAAATGTATTGGTTCATGTTTTGAAGGAGATAATGCCCGCTGAAATATCAAAAAGACAATACTTTATATTAGGAAAGATTGTGAATACAGAAAACTACAACGGTGATCGTCTTCACCAGTTTTGCTCAGATAATCATGTGTTTATAGTCAACACTAACTTTAGGTGCAAAGAGAGAAAGTGCGTAACCTAGCTACCTCAATCACCAAATCAACTCTGGACTCAAATAGACGACATAGCGATATGGTATGATTGGCGAGGGTCAGTAGAAGACTGTCGATCTTTCTTGAATACATTACACTGATCAAGGAACTCTACTCGAACTCGTACAGTCAGCCAGGTGAGAGCCTAAGGAGAGTTGTCATCTGAGGTGGTGTCCGTCAGGGATGCTCAATGTCCCCATTTCCGCTTTGATCTCATCGTAGATACAATATTAGACTGAACCCTAACTCACTTCAGAGACTCAGGGAATGACTTGTTACCAGGGAATAATCTGGTTGACTCAGAATATGCAGATGATATATTCCTACTAGGTGAGGATGCTGACAAAGTTCAGAGTCTTCTTAACACCTTGAGCGGCAATCTACGAATGTTTTGCATGCAAGCTATTATCAGTGTTTCATTAAATGCTACAGGAGATCAACTCATCTAACATCTAAATTTTACTCGTGCATTATTTGAATTAGATATTTATTCTGGGAATTATATAATACGAATTGACAAGGTACAGTCATTGAGGAGGTGACATGACAGACTAATTGTTACTGAGTTTGTTAATTATCAACTAGCACAAATAACTAAATAAAACTGGTGGATAAAATGTGCTAAACAATGTTACCTACTCATAAGTAGTACAATCAAGCCACATCAAGTTGATATTGCTGTCTGTCCTTGGGCATGTCAGTGTTTGGTTTCATAACCTCACAAACGTAATGAATGAATGAATGGACAAAGAAATTCCATGAGATCCTTGACCGTGTTTTCAACCTTCGAGCGTCATTCAGGTTTTGACTGAATTCATTCAAACAGTTGTCACTGTTTATTCTTAATTCGTGTATTTTAACGTGAGTGGGTGTCTACACAGTCGCAAACTTACTGTTTAACTGTTTAAACAGCTGCAGGAAACAAATAAAATTGAGAGACTCACCAGTTGCTTAAAATCTGTTGGCTTTTAACAGATTTTAATAAGTTTTACTACTTGTAGCTTGTCATTTACACATAAGTGGTATTCATATCCTATTTCCTACAACAGGGTATTTAGGTAAATCTCGGTTTTCATTTGACTACTTGTCCTCTGTTTACGTTATATGGTGGTTAGTGACATCTGGATCCTTCACATCTCCCACTTTCAGTGGCTCAGTTTCACAGCCGAAAGAAGATATCTACTGCACACTACACACGTTTGATTAATAGTCGGATATCACGTCTACCCCAATGATGACGTAGGTTGGTAAACGCTAGACTGTCGATTTGTATCTGTGCTAAGATTTCGTCAGCAATCAGTTCACCAGGGTTAGTGCAATTTTCCAAATAAGTAGAGGAGTAGTCAACATACTCAGTCTTTTAACTCCCTATACATAACCTAGGATTCAGTGCAGACCAGTCTTGCAGCATCATTTAGCTGGGGTGAATTTCACTCCGAACTTACCAACATTTGGGCTCAAGTAGTTCAGAATTTTCCACATTTCTCCTGCGTCTTCATCTAAAAGGACTATATCCTAATAGACTAAACCCACCCTGGGTAATAAGTCAATCTCTAAGTCTTCGAAGTCAAATAGGGTCACATCCATTGGTACATTTATGATGAAATTCAATAGGAATGGAGAATTTGGGAGTCCTTTACGGATAACATCGTTTCTCATCACTTCAGATTAAAACTCTCCATAATCTCTTAGAAGACTGCATGAGTTCTAGCAGAGGGCAAATATTTTCACGATACTTCTCGGTCGGCGGACCCAAATTCCTCCTTCGGGTCGGGAAATATGTCAAATGTTGGATTTCGGTAATTATTCTTGTGTTTCAAAGTCTGTCAGAGAGTGAAAATGTGGACAATATGCCGCACTCCTGGCTTGAATCATACTTGGTTTTCATAGGTTTGTTTCTTTTGAGCTTTGTTTAGTCTACACAGCTTTAGTGAGTTTAGAAGTTCCGATCCTAATTTTTGTCAACCTGATCTTACTATGATTATCTCATGAACATTTGTCTGAGACAAACAATGATTTTACACCACTTCACTGGGACTACCTGAGATTCCCACACATAGTCTAGGATCTTAGCCAACTTAGTCAATACTTCGTCACCTCTGGAATCACACGTCCTGATACCTCTGCTTTACCTTATTTTCTTTTAGAGATAGTTTTTGCAACTTTAGTTACAGTTGCACAACCCGTGTGTACAGGTAGGTGTTTGATATTGTGCATGCTACTGAATGTGTTCTCTCCAATTTTCCATTCATCCGTTCTGAGAAGTAATTAAAGTGCACATCTGAGAAATTGTTCCACTCACCATTGGTTTTTTACAGGACGTTTCCATAATGAATCTAAATAGTTTTCTGGCATTACTTAAGTTGAATGCTTTTTCGACTCCTTTTAATTTTGTCGCCAGCGATTGTTCACTGCTTTTATATTCCTGTTTGTCAGTGGAACGAATTTGCCCTCAAGCCGAGACTTACACTCTGGTAACTGCTTTTAGTCCAACATCTGTCTAATCGACTTTTGTTGCTTAGTAGAATCTGCAGCAAAATATGTTCCAGTTAGTAGTGTTGCTGGTTATGTCTATGCGGTATGCTGCAAGCTCGACCACTACGTTAGAGTAGCAACTAGTCATCGGTTGCATATACATAGAAGTTATTTTATATCATACGTTTTTCTCGAAAGTTCAGATTTAAGGTAAGTTATGCCGCTGAATCACCGCTAAAAATACCACAAAGGTGGTGTGTTGTCTTTCATAAGTACCAATTGATGTCACACAATTCTGCACTTTAATATAATACTCTTTACTTTTTGTTTACATTTTGTTTTAAAAGTTGTGTACAGGAAATATAAGTCTGTCAGTACTTCTTCACATATTCGGTCCACTTCATGTTCATCGAATAAATCTGTACTACCCCGCTTTTTCTTGACACATCGACGTACTGCTTCAGGTGATCCAAAACTTTTAAGCAAAATGTCTAGTCGTAATAGTGAAGGTGAGTTCATAAATTGAGACAGTTATATAATTCTGAACTGAAGTCTTTATTTTTTATAAATCATATTATGCGAAGTTTATCAACTCTTCACAGTATTATTATTATTATACTCCTAGATACTTGTTTTTATTCAAATCAGTGAGCATTCAATTAACAAAAAGATTCGGTAGCTTATATAACGTAAAAGCCCATGAATAATTCAGTGGTGGTGGTTTCACACACAGAGATTAAAAACAAAATATTGTGGTTGATTAATGTCCATCCATGATAAGAACTATATCTCTAATTAGTGCTTCCCGGACTTATTATACTCTTATATGTTGTAGGAAGTTTTTGTTAAACAGTAAACGTTTTAGTCTTTGTGATTACTGAGAGTGCACATAATAATTGGCGGTTATTGTACCTTAAACTAGTTTAACAAAATTAGCACAGGTTTGTGCTCTTTTTAAATATTAATCATCCTTGTGGATCCTCGTGAAAATCCCTGGACTGCACTACTGCTTCCTTAATGATATTTCCTTAAATTTATAACCACGTTTGCTAGAATAACCGTTGTCTTTTTGATGGATTCTTCTGTATTCATTTTTTTCTTCCTTGTTTTTGAAAGATATTCCATCTCAGAACAAGCAAAGTCCATCGTCTTCTCCTCGCCACTACAACAGTTCCTCTTCGAAATTTAGTGCTTTAGATAAACGACATAGAAATGTAAGTTCTACCTTGAAGTTTACATAACATTATAACCTTGAATACAACAGGCAATTAATATAGAGATATTTCGGCGTCTTGGCATTATCAACAAATGCTGTAACCTACATCAATGCCTTGGAACTACATAACTTGATCTAGTTGCTGTCTTTAACTTCAAGTTACTTCACGACCTAGCCAATGCATCGGTCAGTAATCACTTCTGATCTGACCTTATGCTTCCCAGCTATGGTCACATTTCCCATTAGTAAATAATTCATCGACTCACTGGCGAAATGTATATTTATCCATGTATGTTTAATGAAATGAGAAATAAATGAGAAGGTATAGAATACAAGTGTTGGGAATCTGCGAAAGCGGATGGAACGGAACTGGAAGGTGCCAACTACCAACTGGAGAGATAATAATCTATTCCGGCCACCCAGAGGACAATCACGAGCACACCGAGGGAGTGGCCATCATGAGGTCACCAACAGCAGCCAAAGATCTCATGCAGTGGGAACCAATCTCCTCCAGGATAATGACAGCCAGGTTCAACTGAAAAGGAAGGAGAGTTACAGTTATTGAATGCTATGCGCCTACAAACGTCTCAGAACAAGAGAAGAAGGAGGCTTTCTACAGACAACTACAAAGAATAATGGACAACGTCCCAAATGGCGATATCAAAGCATGGAATGGCAATCAAACCTCTACCTCAACTTTATAGACTTTGAGAAGACCTTCGACAGCGTTGACCGCGAAGTAATTTGGAAACTACTTGAGTACTACGGCGTATCCCAAATATTCATCAGCCTTATTCAACAGCTGTACGACAACGGCACATGTCAAGTCATCCACAACGGAAAACTCAGCGAGGCGTTTGGAGTAAACACAGGAGTGAGACAAGGGTGCTTGCTGGTCGGAAAAGCAGTCGGTGAAGACAGGACTCCAAGGGAACATAGACAAGACAGAGGTGATGAAAATAACCAACCAACAACAGCAACATCCAGCGTCAATCACCATCAACGGGAGGGATTTGAAAGAGGTTTCTTCATTCACTCACTTATCTAGGGAGGGAGCATTGTCTCAACTACAGGAAGTCGGAAGGGACGAGGATGTCAAATGGAGCGAGAATCGGGAAGGCGAGAAACACATTCATCAACCTGAAACCAATCTGGAAACCTTCGTCACTCAGCCAGCGTCAGCAACAAAATTCGGTCGGATTTTCAATACAAACGTCAAGTCAGTCAGTTCTTCTATATGGATCAGAAAGTTGTCGGGCGGGTCACAACAAATATTTCCAACAGCCTGTTGCAGATCAGACCTTTATCAGCAACTGTCTTCGCTGGATCTATACTGAAGATCAGATGGCCGGGCCGGGCCGGAAAGAATCACCAACAAGAAACTATGGCTGGGAAGAAACAAAACAAGAACCAATCGCCCACCAACAGCAAATATGCAGGAGAAAGTGGAGATGGATTGGACACTGGCTGAGGAGGCCGCTGAGTGACATCGCGCGCGCGTCAGGCCATCGCTTGAGTGGAACCCGAAAGGGAAGCGGCGAGTGGGACGTGGTTGTCAGTGCAAGGGTAACATGGAGGAGATCGTGTGAAGAGGAGTTGAAACGATATGGACTAACATGGATGCAGGTGAAAAGTACAGCAGAAGAGAGAAGCAAGTGGAGACGTTCAGTTGAAGTCCTATGTTCCACTGGGAACCCAAGGGAGCAATAATAATAATGTCCACCTTTTATAACTGAAATAGGTGGTTGCGCTAGTGACTTGATATCGGAATTTTTTATGAATACTTTGGTGACAGATTATTCACATTTTTGAGCTTATTTCTCCTTCCTCCTCAAAATATCCTTATAATCACTATCTCACCATATAGCTCGACGTATTTCTTGCAAGGATCTTGGACAAGGTGACTGTCAAGGTTGGTTAAAGAAAACAAATACATTGACTAGTAAATACGTGAAAAGATGGTGTGTTTACAAAAATTCAACATTCTACCACTATAGAAATCCTAATGTAGGTTCATAATTAGTTATCACCAAATAAAATGATTTGTTCACTTCATGTTTAGGATGATTCAGCTGAAGGTTTAATTCTACTTCATGGTTTTACCATCACTCCTGCAGTCTCAGTAAAATCTGGAAAATTGTAAGTTCTTTAATTGAAATTAACACCAGAAATGTATGAATATTTTCTTCATAACAGTGATATGCCTTCAGCTTATATTGAATTATCAACCAGTTAGGTTGTATATAGACATTTTTACTGTCTTCTCCTGCAGATCTAATAGGTTCGTACATTATCTACTTTATTTTTTCTAATGAAATGACCATAGTGCACTCTTTACTACTACGAACTTATTCATAGAAACAAGTATTACAGTTGCTTTCACCACCAAATTATTAGGGACTTAGTGGAACACTAATGGAGAAAAACATTAGCTTATGTTTAATTGATAGTTATGGGTTAGCTCATTTCATCTGTTTGATGCTAATGTACCGATTTTTCGCTCATCTCTCGGAAGTCACACTGACTCTAGTTAGAGAATTCTCTTTACACTCCTTTGAAGGGGTATTCCGAAGCGGTTTCACAAGGGTAAAAGGAAAACTACTGGGAATTTCGTCCTAGAAAATTTGCTAGAATACTACCAACAAATTTAAGAGGTATTTTGTTATGTACTCGTCGCTAAATTATTGTTATGGACTGGTCGAGAATTTAATAGTCCTGACGCAAGAAGGCGGAAATCAGAAGACCACTAGGTTTGCGATG